TTTAAACCTTAAAAAAATTCCAATTTGAGGGCAGCGCCTGTGTCTCAAAGGAGTACGGCGCTGGCCCCATATGCCGGAGGTGGTGGGTTCAAACCCAGCCCCGGCTAAAAAATTGTAAAAAAAAAGAAAAAAAAATCCAGTTTGATGTGCTTTCATTTTTTATGTTTTAATTTCTTTCATTTCCTGAAACTCAAAGCAATAAATAATCTCCACAAACATTAAGCATTAGATATGTATGCATCTTTTGATTTTTATTATTAATTTGAACTAAATACATCTGAAAAGGAATAAGGGTTAAAAGATAAAATTATGTAATAAAAAAGGGGAATGGTACAAGGAAAGAAGAGAGGTGACTTTAATGTTATCAGCAGTATTTAGTTTTAAAAAAAAAACCCACTATTTGAGAAATGCAGTGGAATCTCCATAGTTGACCACCTCCATCCCCCCCACATTGACCACCCTCCTTAAGTTGACCTTATTTTCCTACAGCAGACATGCACCACCTGTACATATCAGTACAGCAGACTGAGTTTCATATGTTGACCACCCCTGTATGTTGACCAGTTTGTTACATTCCCTTGGGTGGTCAACGTACAGAGGCTGTACTATAGTTTGTGTGAAAGACCTCACTCAGCTTCGATTTCTCAAAACATATAGAGGGTTTATAAAAAACATCTCATTTTACAGCCATGGTCATATAACATGCAAAACTAAAACAACAATAAATCTGGGTTTTTTTTCCTGTCCAATTTGTTTCTGTTTCCCCACAAACAAAAGGAATTGGCTAAAGAATGATGAGGTTCTTCATGTTTTGAAATTAATTTTCTGCTTTATGGGAAAATTCAATACTGAAACCATAAAAGAGAAAAGCAAATATAAATAAGGATCTGCTACTTTATTATTATGTGTCCTGAGATATGTCAGTTACTATCTTGATTTGCTGGCAGCTGCTTTTTTTTTTTTTTCAAGAAAGATTCACCATCCAGGAGCTGAGGGTAGCTCAGTGATTGATTCTATTCCCAGCTGGAGTCAGCGTAGAAGACTAGTTAAGAGCAGAGATGTAGGAGTCAGGTTGGAGACTGTATCCTGGCTCCACCGATTATCAGGGGTGTGACCACAGGTAAGGTATTAACCTCTCTGAGACTTATTCTTCTTATCTGTAAAATAACAACAAACTGCCTCAAATACTACAAGGAATAAGTAAACTGAGTAGGAAAAATTTAACACAGCATCTTTTCCAGGCTTTGCTGCTAAGTATTTTTTTATTTCCAAAATAATCATCTCATAACATATTTTTTTAGCAACTACCGTGTGTCATTTTCTTTTCACTTAGATTATTTCTAATTACCACAGCAATGCTGGAAAAAAACGAAACACCCTCATTTCACAGATGGGGAAATTGTGGCTCAGAGAGGTGAAGTGACTCACCTGAAGTCACACAGAGAATCTATGATGAAGCCAGGAATTGAACCCACCCATCTACCATCAAAGCCTGTGCTCCTTCCATGAGGCTGTGGTGCCTACTTCTCTGGGCAGTGAATGTTCCAGAGAGAGACAAAAAAAGAAAAACCAAAGCCGCTTTCGAGGTTTCTAAACCTCTCGCTTTAGAATAAATCCCCCAATTATGCTTGAAGTTAGACCAGCTTTTGAAATCTCAACTGGATAGCCTTTTCTCATCAAGTTCCTTGAAATTTCCCTTTAAAGAGCATCTGGGAAAAGCCACTGTTATTAGCCAGGTTCTGACTTTATTTTCCTAATAAACAGACCTTTGGTCAGACAAAAGAACCTCTTCTATTTTCAATTACTTCTTGAACATTTCAGCGGATTTTCTTCTATTTGGCTTGAAATTGTGATCTGGGAAAGACTGGTCCTGCAAATTGTCCTCCTATAAGGGAAGCCCCTAGAGGATCCTCAACTTGTTATTTTTAATCACTGTAATCTCTTTCTCAAAGGAGGCTCTGGTCAGAAACAGAGCAGGCCTTTCAGAGCTTTCTAAAGCACAATTATTGCAGCTGGAAGGGGAGGCAGGGGGAAGAGGGAGGGAGAAGAGAGAAGTGGTGGGAGAGAAAAGGAAGTCAATATAATGCTAACAACTCGGTAAAGGCTGAATAATCATCTCGACTGGACCCAGGCTGTGGAGTAGAAACCTGTTTCAATAGTTTTTAATAGTGATCATTTTATTCCAGTCTGGACTCCATAAAGACTATAACTCAGATGGAGGACATGAGAGCAGACGCTGTCTGGGAATAAACTGGAAAGCTGTGGAGAAAGATCGGGAGCAGGAAAACAAGCCATTGATTCCTAGGATTGTGAGGGATCTGAGTTCAGGAAAAAATTAAAAAAGCAAATAGAACACCAGGGGAATGCTAACTTCTACAGCCCTAAGTCAATACACCAAGCAGAATGCATTAGATTTACTTTTAACATAATTATTCTAAGAAAGCATGAGCCAAGAGAAAATGTCACAAACTAGGCCAGCACCCTTTCTTCCTAACATTGAGTGGCTGGAATCAGGTTTGCTAATTGCAGAATATTTACTTAGAAGACCTCAGCAGCTTTCTGCAAGATCTTTCTTTCAAGGTCTCTTTGCCACAAGAAAGGTAAAAAGATGACTGTCCAACCTACAACCTAGGGGGGGGGGGTGTGTGTGTCAAAGTCCCAAAGGCTAACTATTTAGGCTCAAGTAGCCTGTAGGGTGAAAATCCAGGGCTCTCCAGTTCCAGCCCCAGTTCCCTGTCTCCTGCTCCCAACCCCTCCCAGTGTACGTAGTTCCAGAACCTCTCTGGCCACGTGAGTATGGGATGTGCCTCCCTCCCAGTGCCAGGGCCACCAGCTGCCAGTGCTCAGCTGAACACCGAGGATTAGTGTGGGAAGAGCTGCCAGGTAGGACACTTGGCTAACCCAGGGCTAGCCTAAATCACTGAAAAAAACCTTCCTGGGTTTAAATTAGGGACAGTCTTAGGAAAATCTCCTAATATGAGGAATCATTCATTCACTCATTCAATTAATTTATGAGGACCCAGGTAACCACCACGTACTGGTAGATTGGACCAAGGAGTGCTGAAAAAACCTACTTTCTCACACACACCCACACACCACACACACACACACACACGCACACACACACACCCCTGACCAGAATATCAAAACAATAAATCCTCACATTCAACTCAACCTAGTATGTGCTGTGAACCCGCTGTAACTCACACATACTCACAGACCGCTATTTTTACAGCTGGGAAATGGTCTGTAATTAAATGACTTGCACAAGGTCACACACCCACTGCACCCAAGTCCGTTTGATTTCAGAGCCAACTCTTTCCCTACTACGTGGAGCCGGGGCAGTTTCCCCAGTGAACCTAGGTCCTCCGTTTTGGGGAGGAAAGCGTGGGCCAATGAGGTCACGCTTCCCCAGTCTACGGGAAGGACCCGCCGCCTCCAGAGGGGCTGCCGCCTCTCGTCAGCGCAGCTCGCTCCAGCCAAGGCGCCAAGCCGCGCTCCCTCCCGGGCTGTCCTCCGCCCAACGTCTTCTTCGTGCAGTACCGAGGATCCCGCAGACCCGCGCGCTGGGGCCAAGCTATTCCCCGCCAAGCGCTGAGCATGCCAAGGCTCTGAGTAGCTCCGGGTGGGTAAAGACAGGGACACGACCCCGGGAAAAGGAGAGAAGCCCGTCTTAGAAGGGTGGCCCCCGGTTCTGGTCTCCCGCGCGGCCCCAGTGCCAGCTGACACTGCCCCAAACTTTCTCCTGTGCTGCTCCCACTGCTTCCGCCAGCGACACTCTAGGGAACTAGGTAGGAAAAGACGGAAGGGCCGCGGCTGGGACAGCCTATTTGCCCCATCAGGTGCCCCAGTGACCTGCTGTTCCCTGCTTGGCACCAGAACTGACTTATGAAGGGGAGAGGGTGAGAAGACACGCCTCACCACAGGACCCTAGGTGATGCCAGACATGCTTCCATCCCTACCAGGTGTCCTGTCTTAGAGCGGCTGCAGCACCTGGGGCAGAGGTTTCTGGGGAGATGACCGGGCTGACGGAGACGGTGGTGGGGCGTGGGGATGGAGTCAGGGGTCTTCAGGTCGGTGCCAGTCGAGCGGCCTCTCCTGCCCAGGACGCGCTCACCGGTTTGGACACCTCCTCCCCGCGCTCCGGAAACCCGGCTCCGAGCTGAGTAGCGTAGGTGCAACACCCCTGGGGTGCGGAGCCTGGGGGATGCGGAAGGCAAGGTTCCCCGGCCTCTAGGGAGCAGGCCTCAGGAATTGGGGCTCCTTTCTGTCTTCATCCAATCCTCTTCCTCCTCGGAGCCTACCTAAAGCCCTTTGGGGACCCCGTTCCCACTAGGAACCTGTCCTGGAAATCCAAGGTCCTCAACCTCGTCTGGGACCGTGAGAGAATCATTTGGGGTTGTTTCCAGGGACCCTTTAGAAGAGCTTCAGGTTGCTCCTCTCCCTCTTTCCTGAGCCCTGGGCCCGTTTAGAAAGAAGCCTAAGTCCCTGGGACCTATCTAGGGAAGTCCAAGTGCCTGTCCCGCCTGGGCCAGTCTTCCGAGAAAGCTGGTCCGGTCTCCTTCAGGGTTGGAAGCCGGGAAAGCTGCTATCACTGTCTTGCCTGGAACCCGACTGAGAGAAACCAGGGTTCCCTCCACTAAAGAGAACGACCGATCTGGGGAAAGGCGGGTCTATTTCCCTCCTAAAGACGACTGTGGGAGACGCGGGACTTCCCTCCAGTCAGGCCAGCCTGACGCGTGGCTCCGCTACAGCCCCCGCGCGTCGGAGATCCAGGCTGCCTCGCCTGGCTGCGGCCCCTGCGACGGCCCCGGACTCCAGTTTGCAATCAGCGCCAAGCTCGCGGCTAAAAGGGCTTAGGACAGCCAGGACCAGAGCGCTCTTGCGGGGCTGCACCAGTACCGTGCGCCCAGGGACCGCGCGCCCTCCTCCGGCACCGCGCGGTCGGCGCCCTACAGGAGCTGGGTCTCTCGCCCTCAACGCTACCCCGGGCCACTTACCGCGGTAGCTGCTTCCCGGCTTGTAGAAGTCGGGGTCACCCTCCACCCGGAGGCTGAACTCGGTGTAGCCCTCGCGCCGCGTGCCCTGGGCGCGCAGGATGCGGCTGCAGTAGCCCTCCGACTTAGGCACTTTGTCCAGGGTCTCGTCGGAGAAGGCCAGCGCCGCGGCCAGGGGCAGCGCCAGGGCCAGCAGAGCCGGACTCCGGCTCAGCCTCAGAGGCGCCGGGGCCAGCCTCATCCTTACCGGCTCCCAACTTTGTGCCGCTGACTCTGGCCCTCGCCACGCGACTCCTGCCCAAAGTGGTCCCGGCGAAGGCGAGACCTGGCGGAGCCCGGGCGGGGAGAGGGAGCTCGGAGCCGGCGTCGGCGACTCGGAGACCGTGCCCGCCTCGGCTTGGTGGCTGCTGAGGGGAGCTGAGCTGAGCTGAGCTGAGCTGAGCTGAGCTGAGCTGAGCCGAGCGAGCCGAGCGAGCCGAGCAGCGCGAGGAGGGGAGGGCGGCGGCGAAGGAGCAGGGGAGGGAGGGCTGATTTTGCCCAGATCCCGGAGCGCAGCGCTGTTTTGTTTTCGAACTGGCGATTAGCTGCGCGGCCGTGTTTATTTTGCAACGCTGGGTTCCCAGGGTCTGGAGAAGAAATCATAGGATACACGGACACTGAGGACTCTGTCCCATCACCACGGAGGCTGGTATCCCACCCCGCTACACTCTGGATCCTGAGGAGGACCGTGTTTCAAGGGAGGGAAACCCGAGAATGAAGTTTTGTTGCACACCTATTGTGCCTAGCAACGTGCTGGGAGGTTCACTTGCGGTATCTCCCCACCGTCCCCGCCCTCCCCACGCACAGTGAAGATTACATTACTTTTACTCATTTTGTATATAACAGACAAGCAAACAGAGACTTGGTGAATAGTTAAGGCAGCTTTCAATGCACGATGTGCTGGATCTATTGCTCTTCCCAGGGACATATTGGAACAGGTCAGACTGGAGGACGAAAAAGGAGCAAACGATTTATCCAGAAATTTTCGCACAGCGCTTAGAACCCACAGTATTTTGGGGAGACCTATGAAAAAGTTCTCTTTAAAATCAGAAGGAAAAAAGCCATTTAGGTCAAACAAAATATTTTACTATATAATACTAATATATTTGTCTTTATACCTACACACTCATAAAATACGATGTTTAATTTTGTCTTATGGAGGAAGGAGCCCACAAAGACAAAAGTGCCTAAGGCCCATGGATGTCTTCCTACAGTCCCGGAAAGGAGTTTGGAAAGGTTCAAAAAAGAACCTGTGTTTTCTTGGCGGTAGATTTTAGATCAGGTTCTCAGTCCCCAGGGACAGATGTTCAGCGAGGTGCTGTGCTTGAGGGCTGCCTGTGTTTTCCCAGAGAGAAAGAAACCTGAAATAAGCCTCAGTTCTGCCACTTTCTGTGAGACTTGGGCTAATTATTTCACCTCTCCAAGTTTATTTCCTGCTCTGCAGAACAGGGGGTTGAATGTGGGAGCTAATACACCTTTGCTGAGTGTATGTTAGAATTAAATGACTGACCCATATAAAACACTTGGGCTGGTCTCCAGTGCCCCCTTCCCTCCCACCCCTCTGGGGACACCTTAGGTCCCCAGTCTCTCCTCAGTGGCACAAGCATCCCTCCCCAGGCGCTCTCAGAAGCTTTGGTTTCCCCCTCTTTTTTCCTCCCAGTGCCTTCAACACCTCAAGTGCCCACAATAACAAGCCATCTCCTTTCCCTTTCTAGGAGTTTTCTCTTTCACATCGCTACTAACAGGTCCAAGGAGGCATCTGCATTGGATGTCTCCATTCCTCCCTGCCGGCCCACTTACTCCTTGGTCCTTGTATGACTCCACTGTCACTGTCAACTTTGTACCTTTTCTCAGGAGTCACTTGAGAGTAACCCACTCCTTGCTGAAGCCAATTATGCTCTTCTCTCAGCCCTGGCCCTCCTTAGTCCTTAGCAGCACCTGATCCGGCTGACCAGCCCTCTTTTTGAGGTGATGCTCAAATCCATGTCTGCATCCTGGGGGAGTGATCTCCATCTTCATTTGACAGGCTCAGAGCTCATGTTACATTCCCTGTTGCATGGCCCCATCCATCCAGCAAGCTTCACTAAGAGCAGATTTGGAGCCAGGCTCTGTGCTGAGTGGGGGGCACACAAGGGAACAGAAATTTGTTCATTCATTCATTCATATCAAAGGCCCTCCCTGTGCTTGGATACAAGACAGGTAGATATGTGACTTGCCTTTGTGAACCTTACAGCCCTGTGCCAAAGTCAAACATTAAACACGTAATTGTATGAAGCCTTTTATAATTGTGATATATGCTACAAACTAAAATAAGTGGTTCTTGAGAGTGTACCTAGAGAGCAGGAAACCACAAAGATGAATAAAATGTGACTCCTATCTTCATGGAGCTTCTTACATGTCTAAAAGCCCAAATACATGCTCTGGAACATCTTTTACATCTACGCATCACCATATTCAAAGTTAAATTGGAGGTGAGCAGGCATGAAGAAGGCAGGGATGCAATATTTAACTTTTTATTGGGCAAGATAGGAAAACCACGTGTGGTGAGAGGCCCCATTCCACCCCCCTGCCCCACCACTATTTTCTAGATCAGGAATCTATAAAATTACCAGCCTGGGTAATGTACCTTGGTTATTAAGGGAAGGTGCCAGGATTTAAAACAGACCTTCCCAACACCAATATGAAGTACTTGTCATAACACCCTGTTGGCCCCATCGCCTGGGCTGTGATCGCAGGCTCTGACTGGCCTACCAAGCTCCACGCCCACTAACATGAGCTAGATTTTCCTAACCCAGCTTGGCTGTCACACATCCAATCCATCACCATGTCATCAGCTTCACCCTAGTCCAAGTTGTCATCCTCTCTCAGCCGGCTGATTAGGTTGCCCCTGTCTAAAACTCCTTTGTCAGCAGCTTTTTAGGGCTCTGAGAATAAAGCCAGAATCTTTAAAGTGGTCTCCAAGGCTCTGATTGATCTGCCTTTCTGGCCATGGGCTTTGCCTCTGCTGTTCTCTCTGCCTGGAATCCTGCAAGGCTCTTTGGTCTATCCCACCTACTACCCTCTGTTCTTCTAATCCTGACGCAAAACAGCTTCTTCAGAGAAGTCCTTTCTGACTTCCTGGAATAAATCCTGCCCCTAGAGCTCTCCTGGAACATGGTACCTTTTCTTTAATATTCTTATGTCTATAATTACCCATTTCATTCATATAGTTGCTTTCTAAATCTGTTCAGTGAGTGTTTGTCCCCATCATTGAATTCTAAGCTTTCTAAGGGCGAGGAATGTCTTTGAGGCTCACCACTGTACCCTCCCTGCTCATCTGAGTACCCAGCTCATGGTAGGGACTCCATAAATATTTGTTCTCTCAATTAAAAGTTTGTAATAACCTTGCTCCCAGGGCCCTCTAACTCAGCTCACATTTTTAAATTCGGCCTCTAAGGCCCTCCATGATCTGGTCACACTGTATCTATCAGGCCACATCTGGCCATAGATCCCTGTCTGAGCTCCCAGTTCTGCCCAACTGGGTTCCCTGTGTCCCCCACTTGCATTCTTGCCCCACCACCTCTGCTCTCAGCTTCACATTGCCTACACTAAAAGGGTTGTTCTGTAAAATTTGGATCCAGTCAAAAAACTGTGCTCAAGGATCTACAAGGCCACATGTGGCCTCAAGGCCATGAATTCCTCACCTCTGGCCTAGAATGCTCTCTCTCCTCCTGTTTAAATTTTCCTCTGTGGAATAGGATCTTGCAATCTCTGCTCCTCTGGCCTTCAAAAGAATTTAGAAGGAGAAAAAAGTTTCTTATTTTGACTACTCTGTTCCAATGGATTGTCATGACTATTTCATGTGCCTACATCTCATCTCCTAGCAATGACTCCAGTTTACTTTCTATTTAATTTCCTGTTCAGATGTTTTGTTCTGTTGTAAAATACACTGGACTTCGAGAAATCTTTTCCAGTTTTGTAGCCTAAGGCACAGCTGATGTTAGTTGCTAGGGTGTTGCTAAGGAAAGTCATTTAGCCAGGGCAGATAATTAACTTTATCAGTGTGTGGGTAGGTCACCGAAGAGAAGAGCTGGGGGCTCCATTTCTCCAAGAAAAAAAAAAATATCGTTTGATTAGTAGGAGGTAGGATCACTCTTTTTTTGTTTTTGTTTTGCTTTTGTTTTTTTCCTTGAAGAGAGAAGGGAAAAATGTTTTTCTAGATTAGTGTTTTTCTGAGTATGGGCATTGAAACACGAGCATCAGATGTTTGCTTCAAATGCAGATTTCAAAACTCCCTCCCAGACCTATTAAACCTGCTCTTTGAACAAACTCATAGTAAAGTTTAAGGGACCACTTGTCCTAGAGCTTGGAATTCAGACTTGAAGTATATGCGTTCCAGTCTAGCTCTCCTATGTTTCAGCCACATGAAGCTGGGAAGTCTCAGGAAGTCACTGGATCTGTCTAAACCTCTCCTATACAAAGTTGGAAATAGTAATACTCATTTGTCTACCTCCTGGGATTTTGAGAGGTAAATGGGCAACTGAAATAATTATAAACTGTAAAGAGATTCACCCCCCCAACCCGATTATTATTGTTTCTCTTATTTTATTACTTTAGAACAAGAATCCAGAAATGTTTTTTCTCTAATTTATAGAGATAATTTGGAAATTTTATGTGAAAGGAAAAGAAAGCAGATAGATAATGAAGGGAACTGAATTGTGCTCAATAAACCACCTGTAATGTATTGTGAGGGAAGGTCCAGAAACTGTCTATGAGCAAACTAGCAAGTTTAGAGATGAAGCCAGGGAAGATGAATATAAAGAGTTAAAAAAAAATTCTAAAAGCAAAAGACATACATTCATTTTAGAGATGTTTTTCATCACCTGCTTTGTCCTAGGCAATGGCCAAATCATTTGCCTTTGGAATTGTGAGGCTGATTGGGTCCATCTCCTAATTCCACCCAAAGTATATGCTCCTGCTTATCCCTGAGTTCTCCCATTCTTTGATCTCCATTCACTTTTTTTATTTGAGACAGAGTTTCATTTTGTTGCCCTCGGTAGAGTGCCATGGAGTCATAGCTCATAGTAACCTCAAACTCTTGGACTCAAGAGATTCTCTTGCCTTAGCCTCCCAAGTAGCTGGGACTACAGGTGCCTGCTACAATACCTGACTACTTTTAGAGAGCGGTCTTGCTCTCCCTGAGTCTGGTCTTAAAGCCGTGAGCTCAGGCAATCCACCCTCCTTGGCCTCCTAAGTGCTAGGATCATAGACGTGAGTCACTGCACCCAGCCCTCCATTCCCTTTTATCTTTCCTTCTGCTCTCTGGAGCATTTCTCTATTTCCTATTGCCACATCCAGATCAGTATTCTAGAACATCCTTCAAGAGACCCTCTTACTTTAAAACTCCCAGTTCTCACTTTACACTCCCTCACCCTGCCTCATCCTGTTCCCATCAACTGTAG